GCCGGGAGGGGGACGGCCGCAGAGTGATGGGCGGGGGGAGGGGGGCGGCCACGGCAGGAAGGCGGCCGTCCCCCTCCCGGCACCCCGCCCCGGCGCGGCAGGTGCACCTCCCGTGGAGGCAGCGCCTGGCCACCGAGACTCTGGCTTCCCCTCGGGCCGAGCCTCTGGGCGTGTCCCCCTCCTCGAGAGCGTCTCCCTCCCGCCGGCCCCCGAGCTGGACGCGCCGCCGCACCCTTTGTGCCGAGCCCGGGAGGGGGCACAGGCGGCACCCGCTGGCCTTGGTCCTGAGGCACCCGGAGCATCCGCCCGCCAGAGCCTTGCAGCCCTCAGGCCGGGAGCCCCGGCAGGGCCGCCGGGATGCTGCTGGCTCATCCCTCGTTCAGAGAGATTCCCGGTGTGGGTGGGAGTCCTTCCCCACCCTGGAGTCCGCCTCATTCCCGGGAGCCAGAATGGGGGGCCAGGGGTCCACTGTGCATGCTGGGAGTTGTGTGGTGGACAGAAAGGCAGGGACGCCTGGCCTGGGTGGAGAGGCCTGCAACCGCTCTCCGTAACCTCTGGAGTCGGTATGAATTTGCGTTTACACCTGTGTTGGCGTTCAGGCAGTACGCTGTCGCTTCGTGAGGGCCGGTTTTGTCTCCTGCACCAGGGTTTAGGACAGGTGTATATTTGGTTCATGAATGAGTGCCTTGGTCACTTCCTTGGACGTCGCCTAATTAAAGCCCATCACCTTACAGGGTTTATTTCTGTGTGTTGGCTCCTTTGCCTCCTGAACTTCGAGCCCTCGACTGGATCTTGTCGGGCTCGCATTCCCAGCACATAGCCAGAGTCTGGCACATAACAGGCACTCAAGAAACGCTTGTTGAATGGGTGGCTGACACCCTGAGACAGAGCCAGGGCCTGGGCAAGGTGCAAAGGAAAGTCAGCCTGGCTTTTTTTTTCCCTACCAAACACCTGTGCCATTTGATTGGGAACGTTTTGGGGCTGCCTTTTGTAAACCTGAAAGGATGAAGGTTGTTTTACAAAGTTTGTGTCAAGGGAAAATAAGAAAAGAAAAAAAAAAAAAAAAGAACAGGTAAAAATGGATGGCCTGGGAATCCCCTCACCTGTTTTTCAACTCCTTGCAGATTTTTTTTTTTCACTGCACACTTGGTCATCACATCTGGCAAACAGGATGACATCGTTCCCTCTCCAAGGCCATGTCCCATCATCCTGATGAGACAGCCATTTGAACAAGACAGAGCAGCTCAGGTTGTTCCTTCAAAGACGCTAGCCTTACACGGTGCACGTGCCGGTCTCCTGGGAACCTGTTTTGACTTGGTCTCGAGTGGGAAGGCCCAGGGAGGACTCCCTCCGTGACTGTTTGTTCTCTAGCCCTGCTTCCCACGACGACAGTAGACCTATCCGCTCTCGAGTCAGTGAGGGGAAAAGCATTCTAGAAGTCTGGGGAGAAGGATGGGCAAGGCTCTAGCATGACAGAAAGACCGATTGGATGTGATCCCTGCTCTCGGGGCCCTTAGGATGTTGCTAGAGTATGATTTATTCACCAGTAGCTGTGACGTAAGACGGGTTGAGATAAGTAGCAAATGAGGCATCAGCAAAGCTGCCGCAGGCGTCCAGAGGCTGAGGGGCGAGAGCTGAACCCTGACTGCGTGTCAGAATCGCCAGGAACGGGGGAGCCTGGGCACATCGGTCAGTCAAGCATCTGAGTCTTGATATCAGCTCAGGTCATGAGTGCGTGGTTCATGAGAGTGAACCCCAAGTTGGACTCTGCAGTAACCGTGGGGAGCCTGCTTGGGATGCTCTCTCTCCCTCTCTCAGCCCCTCCCCCACTCGCTCATGCTTGCGCACACCCTCTCTCTCTCTCTCTCTCTCTCAAAATAAATAAACTTAAAAAGAAAGAGGAATCACCCAGGAATGAGTCCCATGCCCAGACCAGAGCCTAGAATCTTCCAGAGTGGGCCTCTGATGTCAGTTTCTGTCTTGAAGCACCCCCGGAAGATTCTGTCGTGCAGCCAGGATGTCCACGGCTGCTTCTCAGAGGGGCTTGGACCGGACTGGGAAACGATTTTCCAAGAAGACAAAACCCCAGAAGTCCCAGGCCCCTGTGGGAAAGTGTATGGTGTGTCCCACTGTCCCTGTCCCGGGAGACTTGGGCTTTGCTCATCCCCCGAATGGCTCAGAGATTCAGAGTCAACAGGCAGACAGGTACCTTTGTAGGAGCTGAGTAATGAGCCTGAGCCGTGGTTACCTCTCCCTGGGGGCCTTCAAGTGCCCCATTACCTCATCTCCTCCACCTAGAGAGGCAGGACAGAACAGGGATGGGAGCAAGGCTCCGGCAGGGCTGAGGGAAACAGGAGCTAGCACAGGCTTTGTGGGACTCTCTCCTGGGCCACACCTTCGACTTAAAAGTACACCCCACCAAGCCCTGCCAGGTGACGAGCTTCACTATAGACTCGGAGCTGTGCGACCCTAAGGAGACACCCTGGATGGGGTGGGCGGTGCTGGTGAGCGTGAGGCCAGCAAACCACAGGCGGTCCAATGCAAGTGACCACAGCCTTGAACCCAGCCTCTGGTGGCTCTCGGACAATGACCAAGGCTTGTGGATCTGTTCCCACCTCATCTATGCAGGGGCCACTCGGGTAATTACATTGTCTACCAGCTGTTTCTTGTGTGCTGGTATGCGTCAAAGAATTTGAGCTTGTACCCCATGGGTTTTAATTATTCATTTGTTAAGTAGAGCCGTGTACTAGTGTCCTGAAAATCACAGACCTAAATACATACAGAAATACAGACCTTTTAAAGGGACAAGAGGCAGAGCAAACACGATTAAATTTGTTCCACATATTGACGCTACCAGACCAACCTTAAAAACATGTGCTGTTTTTATGATTCTTTTTTTAAGTAATCTCTCTGCCCAGCTTGGGGCTTGAACTCCCAACCCCCAGATCAAGAGTTGTGTGCTCTGCCGACAAAGCCAGCCGGGCACCACCCTCCTATGTTGTTTCTAAAAGAAAGCCTTGTGAGCAAGTCTCCATCCCATTTATTTTAATTTTTTTAATGTTTATTTTTGAGAGAGAGAGAGTGCAAGCAGGGGAGGGGCAGAGAGAGAGAGAGGGAGACACAGAATCTGAAGCAGGCTCCAAGCTCTGAGCTGTCAGCACAGAGCCCGATACTGGGCTCGAACCCACGGACCGCGAGATCATGACCTGAGCTGAAGTCGGATGTTTAACCAACTCCATCCCATTTATGAAGCCTTGGTGAAACCTGAGTCCCCTGGTCGGCAGGTCTGGCTCTGGGTTCTGTGTATTTCAGTTCCTGGTTCTGGTGGTGTCACAGGGAAATGCCATGTTCACAACGTCACTTGTGAAGCCACACAGACCGCGCTCCCAGCTGGGAGACTTGCTTTTCACTCCTGCTTATCAGCCTGCGAGGGTTCTTGGGGCCCTAGGCGTTCAGGGGCTGTCGGGGCAGGGAAGCTTCTGGCGCCCGAGGTTCCTGGAGTGTGGGTGTGAGCGTGTGTGTAGATGGCTCTCTTGCAGCGGACACCCACTCCAAACACCCTTCCGAGCTCTGGGGTTTAGTTTGAAAAGCCGCAGCTCTCACGCCTTGTCACCTTTTCTTTGAAGGGACAGGTTTGAGTGTGTTGGCTTAAAAGAAATCAGCTAGCTGACACACTCACGCAGTCATTCGCCATTGAGTAAAAGAAAAGGCCTCTCGGAGGAGAGTCTGCATTTCCTTCTTACGTGCTGAGTCCTGAGATAACCAATGAGCCTCCCGGTCACTGACGGTGTTCACGGTCACTTCCCAAGTCCCTACAAAGTATCAGAAAGCTTCAGCTGTGATTTCGTTTGTTTGTTTTAATTGAGCACAATGCATCATATCTCGAGTCAAGTGAAGTCCCAAGACAGGGGCGAGGCTCCAAGCAAAGTGGTGGGCGGGGGCCCAGGGCCACGCTGTGTCTCAGAGCCCCTCCTGCCCCCCGGGGTGCATGGTCCCCAACACACAGGCCAGCAGGACTGCCACGGTCCTTTCGTGTACCGAGTGTCGGTAAAGCCAATTTGTCCCTCAGTTTTAAAGAAAAATACTTACAAGTGCAATTTGTCACCGTCTATTCTAGTAGGTCGTCTTGCTCACCCAACTCACAGCTCAGTAGTGGGGTTCACTGGCAGGCACCGGACTCTATGAACGTGCCTGCTGTTTTCAGCTTGTGTTTTACGGTGTTTATTTATTGGTATTAAGACACTGTATCGGCAGAATCCATTGAAATAGACATTTTCATGTTCATTGGGCACCTCCCTGCAAAACACCCCCCACAAAAAACCCAGAGATCGTGGATCAACACCTGAGGAGCAGCATCACTGCCCTCCCCCAACCCTGCTGCCTTCTCGGCACAGCGTCTGAGGCCTCAGTCCACTTCCCTTTCTGGCTCATTCCCTGCTGCTCCCTCCCCAGGCGCTAAGAACTACAGCCGCTCCCCACACATACTCTTCCACTTTTCCGTGATCTTATCCCACCCCACCCCCCACCCAGCTACTGGGACACTCGAGACTGGCCTCCCTCGTCACCCACCC